TGCTTGAATCAGCTGTTGGCTTTCATCATTGATCTTAATGAAGCCTCCTTCCCATAGCTTGTCAGAAAAATACTCGAAGTCTTCTAGCTCTCAATATAATGGATCGGCTGTTGCGATACTCATAGATTCATCAGCGCGAATCAGCTCAACATCATCTCCATGCCACTGAATCAAACATTGATGCATGGTTGATGGTACACAACAATTTGCATGAATCCAATCATGACCAAGGAGTAGACTGTATGAACCTTTTCCATCAATGACGAAGAATATGGTGAGCAAAGTCTTACTTCCGATTGTCAATTCGACGTTCATTGCCCCCTGGTCTTGGATGCATTACCCCCAAAATCCTTAAGCATCATGTCGGTCTCAATCAAATCTCCTAGTCCCTTGCGAAGCTTGCGAAAAGTAGTATAAGGCATAAGATTAACAGAAGCACCTCCGTCTACCAACATCTTGCTCATCGGCTTCCCATCAACAAAATATTTTACATATAAAGCCTTTAAATGCCGATACTTGACTGATTTATCAAATATAGCTTGTTGTACTACTGTCAACTTGACAACTATTTTCTCATAGTCCAATTCATCGAAATCTACTTCTTGATCTGCTGGAGCCCTGAATTCTGACGACAACAGAAAAGCCATTTGAATATTAGCCGATGGTTGACCTCTATCGGCTGTTTGTTTAGCACACCATACTTGAGGTCTACCAGATGCCTGAGCCTGTTCTAGCTCTCTGTTCCTTAGACATTGCACCCTTCTTTTTGGGCTTCTTGTCAAACCTCCTAGACACCATTGCCCTTCCTACCAAACATATTCTTCTTCATTATCTTCTTCATAATCGGTCCAGTTCTGATCAACAACGCGCTTCCCAAGCCGATCATGAACACTTCTACTTTTTAAGCGCCGATCCAAATTATTATGATAATACTCTTCTCGAGCATGGATAGACCGGCAGTTGGTTTGAGATTGCCTAAACTCCCAATATTGCTCACTGCATTCTGGGCAATTATTTCTAGTAGGCAATTTCAAATCTTCATTCCAACAATGTCTGAAGAAAGAACAATTCCAATGTGATTCAGCTTGCTTTCTTTCATACCTCTCTTTCTCCTGTTGACGCTGGTATTCTTTCTCTTCTAGCCAACGCTGATAATCCTTTTCCTTTTGCCGTTGCCATTTATTCAACAAAATTCGAGATGTGACACGCGGCCTTATTGCCCCATTCCTTGACGTCTCCCCCTGCTCGTATCGGCTCTTCTGTTGGTCACAACGCCTTCTAATCTCTCTATATTTATCAGCCGATATTTGCATCTTCGGATCAACGGTTCCGGTTTCTTTTGCCTTAGTCGATATTAGGACTTTGGTTTTCCGTTTAAGCAATCTAGCATCAATCATGTTCTGATCTCTTGGAAAAGGATTATCATCGACTTTTATCCTAAAATGCATCATAGAACATCACATGTATGCTACATAGCATAAAAATATATCATAAAACATCACATTTATATTATGTGAACATCGTATATATCTCATGGAATGTAGGAAATTAAAAAACTAAAAAAATAAAATAAAAATAATCTACTTGATTAAAATAAAATAATAAGGAGCAAAAAATTCTAGAGAAAAGATAAAAAGAACACCATATTTTACCATTTGAACAACTTAAAATATTCTACAGAATATATCATAGATACAATGTAAATTGTCAATTATTAATTGCAGAACATCTCTTTTACCACATGAACATCCCAAGATATATCATAAAACATATTACATGCATGTTTGCTATATGAACATCACAAATAACAACATAGAACATCACATGTATGACATTGCCGCATAACCGCCCCCGTCCAAGAGTCCCCTTTGTCAACCATGGCCACGACAACTGCTATGCCGTCAGGGACAAGCCCTCAAAAACCCTGCGGTTGTGTTCCTTCCGCAGGCTCCATGTTACCAGCTAAACGATGGAGTCAAAACGTCTCCTGAAAGCCCGTGGAATGCATGATCTTGCTTCTTGCCACCTTGTAAGTAGCGCCGCATTGACCTCCGGCGCCAGGTGTTGGATATTAATTCGCTGGGAGGAGTACGCGGTGCCATACCTCGTGGTTGTACACACAGGATACGAATAGGTGATCCGTAGTCTCATCTTCCTGGTTGCACAGCGCGCAGGCAGCACTATCCTGAAGACCATGGCGCATCCTGCGCTCTCTGCTGCCCACACCCGGCCGTGTAGAGCAAGCCACTAGAAAAACTTCACCTTCTGGATAGTAAGAACATGGCGCATCCTGCACTCTGCTGTCCACAACCCGGCCGTGTAGAGCAAGGTAGTAGAAAAACTTAACTTTCTGGATAGTATAAGAAAGATACACTAGAGTAAATCTAGAGCCCTCCAACGACATTCTTTACTTCCAATCTATGGTCTCGATGATTTCCTGGTTCCAATATGTCAAAACTTCGCGACGCCAATGACCACCGTTGGAGCATCACCCTTCGATCATCGTCAACGAAAAGCTGAACATTCTAAAGGCAGCTGCTATGTCTAGATACAAACAAACGCTGAGCATGCATGTATTGGAGGCACGTACTCCCTTAGTCCAAAAATAAATAACTTTCTAGAATTTTTTAGACAGTTTTATTGGCAAAAGACGCATGTGCCCTCATCTTCTTTCCTTTTCTGGAGGATATCTCCTAGATTTGGTAGTTGTCGTTTGCATGCACCATGATTAGCTTCCATATTAGGATGCTTTATATTGTTTTAGATAAATTTTAAACCTCGAAAAGCTATTTATTTTTTTCCTGAGATGGTACGGACATAGTATACTTTAAAGGAAAACAAGAATTGTAGGCCCTAATTTGAGGCTATTGCTAAAGTTAAGCCTAGAAAAATAGATAGCCAAATACAGGGGAGGCTCCCAAATCAAAATTAGGGGCCCTGGATTTGGGAGACAGCTTTGTAAAGCCACTCCCAACTTGATTCTTTTGTAGGATGAAAAAAAACTTTCTCCATTAGCTCCCTATCCTAAATCCCAATCTATTTGTGCATGGAAAAACGGAGGCATCCACGTGCAAAGATATGCGGAGGAATGCTACTCCCTAGGTGCCAATTTTTTTTCTTCGACACTCCATCCCTCCTACCACCACGTGCCACCGGCACTTGGAGGTTCGCCGGAACTCGAATCTCCGACAACTATTTCAGATCCAAGGATATTGAGAAGTAGAGAAGGCAATGAAGATTAATTGCATTTAGTAGGTTTTGGCTATGAGTTAGGGTGTCGAGGATGGTGGTCGCGGTCAGCATCTACCGCCGCCTAGGAGGTTCACCGGAATTTGATTCCCGGCCACTATTGTTGGATCTTAGAGCACTTTGAGAGGTAGTAGTTGGGGCCTTGTTGCCACTTGCCAGTGATGACCGACTGTGCGGCGTCACGAGTGGCGACCAAAGCTCTTGAAGTGATACGCCTGCCTTTATTTATTTATTTATTAGGAGTAGTAGTCTATTGGAAACATCGTAGGTGTTAATTTTTATTTCCTTTACATTTACAAAAAGATGAAATTAAAACCAGGCTTTTGGGATTACATTTTATTTTCCGTTACAGTTGGAGATGTCCTTTGTTCAAAGGAAACGAAAACAGAAAACGCAGACATCATTCCAGTGGTCGATCGAATACAAGGTTACTATTGGGTACATACGTGTCATGGGTGCATATGTGCATGCATGTCATCATTAGAGATAGATGACGTAGGAGGCCAGGCCGGGCAAGTCGGGTCTGCGTGCAACCGGCCAAGTCCATGTTTTTTTTAGACAAAGAGGTTTCCCCAGCTTTATTGCTAAAACCAAATACGTTCAGCACAGCGTTTGGCGCGCCCGCCAATATTCAAACAGGTTCCAGAAAGCATGACCTAAAGGCCTTACAAACACCAGAAAATGTTCAGAAACAGAAAAGCGATATCTCCTATCTTGAGTGATTAAGCCGAGTCACAGCGCCGTAGTTCTATTCCGAAGACTGACAATCCAACATCTCCAACCTTAATCGCGTTTCCCAATCCCAGCAAAGTCTTGGAGGTCGGTTGGCCAGCATCTCCAGCTCCTGAATCACGGAGTCCACCTTGATCTCCAGGTCCTGAGCATACATTGGTTTCCATCTTCTTAACATCCTGGCAATCCAAAGTAGCACCGCTTTTTCCCCTGTCCAGACGAGACCCTGAAAGCACATCTTGTTACGAAAATTCCACAATGACCAGATAATTAACAGCAGAGGTTATGATGTTAGTAAAAGCATGTTTCTTATTTGCAATCCAAAAGGTTGCTATAGATTCAAAATTCACATTATTATTCAGATTCAGTATTTCTGCAATCATAGACCAAATTCTCTGCGCCACACAGCAATCAAAAACAGATGATGCACAGATTCTGCTTCACTGCGAAACAAGCAAGTCTTATCAGAGACTTCTCTCCTTTTTGCTAAATTATTCCTGGTCAAAGTCTTGTTTTTTGTTACTAACCACAGAAAAATCAAGTCCATGGTTAGGTTAGGCTAGGCTAGGTGATGGCTCCGACTCCTGGTCCTGGATCCATATCGGTACGTACGTTCTGATCCGACTCGAACAAGGCATATGCATGCATGCGATACGATTATTACGGCAACAAGGCCTGCGGCAACTAACTCCGATTTGTCCAATTGGTTCGTATCCTATACTATATCGGAAGAGCTGCAATATAATCCGGCCCATATCGGAATCCGAAGAACCAGCCACCGCCTACTTCTATTCCATTATATATATTGATCGAGCAGCTCCGGCCGGCGGGCCCTTTGCATTGCTGCTCGCTGTATTTGCCTAGATTGCCAGCCGATCTATCGGTGCCTAGCTCCGATCCACCACTGCGCGTGCTCCATCTTGTCGCGCCACCGCCACCGTCACCGCGCTTACATACCGGCCGGCCGTGGGTGGATCGGATCCTGCAGAGAGAGACTTGCATTGCATTGGGGAGAGACGATGAGCCATCGTCTTGCAGACGACAGCCGAACCCGCCGAGCAGGATGGCGACGGTATCAACGTGACCCGTACAGCATCCATCCCGCGGAATTAGATCCCGTGGACTTGGCCTTGGCCCTCTATCGTCATGGTACATCTCAGAGTATGATGCCAACCTCTTCTCTAACCCGACCTCGATCTCCACCGCCATCTCTCCAAGCCGCTAGCCGGCGCCAGCACAGTCGTCCTACGAGTAAGCGTGCTCGCATCCCCGCCTCCAGCAAGGCTATCCTCGGGCTCAAGGAGGTGCTGCTCACCACCACCACCATGGACGATGATGACGACTGTGCCATCTGCCTTAAGGCTTTGGCTGATCCTGCAGATCAACAGGACAAGGAGGACCCAGCAGCAGCTGCTGCTGTAGAGATGATGACAAGGCTCCGCGCCATGCCCTGCTCCCACATCTTTCACCAGCACTGCATCTTTCAGTGGCTCCATCGCAACGCCGTCTGCCCTCTCTGTCGCCACCAGGCCAGCTGCCCACCACGGATGATGATGATGATGATGATGATGATGAGGAGGAGGAGGAGGAGGAGGAGGAGGAGGAGGATGAAGTATCACCTGATTTTTGGTTCCCATCGGTCCCGTACGACGAGGGTGTTACAACTACGGCTACACTGCCTGACCCTGAAGGAAGCCAAGACACAAGCACTGAAGGCGCCGGCCCAACTACTGTAGCCCGTCCGGCAAGAGCAGCAAGACAGAGTGTCCGCGCCCGTCTGCCAAGCGTTCGCTTTCATGGCCCAGAGTGGGCTTGATCCTAGGCTGTAGAGACGGCTGCGCCGTTGGGACAAGCTACCGGCAAGGCCGGGTGTATAAGAGGCAGGAAGAGAACGCTGAGAAGGCAACAATGTATTACACTACCACAAAAACAATTTATAGGACGCCTCTTTATTACACTACTACAAATGCCTCCCAAATGAGTCGCACCTACAAATCCATTTGTAAGAGCTGTTGGTGTTATTAGCCGCCCTTACAAATAGTCCGATTTGTAGGGGCTACTGTATATCCAGCCGTCCCTACAAATCAGATTTGTAAGGGCGGCCCTATAAATAGACGCCGAATATTAAAAATTAAGCACTGAAATTTGAAGTTATTTAAACGACATCGGATGGAGAAATGACCAAAATAAAAGTTGTAGATCTCGAAAAGTTATGAAACTTTATTGTTTACAACTTTTTCATTTAAAATTATTTACTGCTTCAAAATGCCATTTAAAATTTAATTTTGAAATTATTGAAGAACTCGAATTTCTCTTTTTTTATCTCTGGCTAAAACATGTAACTAGTCTTTGTCCTTCATACTAACTTCAAATTTGATGATTTTTTTTCTAAAATTTTCTAAAATCATGCTTTATCAAATTATTGTGTTCTTACATCTATTATTTTATCTATCGTTTCATGTGACTGTGTTTTATCTATTTGTATTGTGAATTTTAAAAAATGGCAACTTCAAACGTCATTTTGTAACACTAAATGGTTTCAGCTGAAAAAGTCATAAACATAAAAGTTGTAGAACTCATCAAGATCTACAACTTTTATTTTGATTATTTCTTCATATGACAAAATGGTACTAACATTGTTCACAAAATTTACATCTTATGTAAAATTTGTGAACAATGTTACTATCACTAAGTAAGATAAACAAATGACTAAAATAAAAATTGTAAATCTTAGAAAGTTATAGAACTTTATAGTTGACAACATTTTGATTTGAATTAATTTTGTCAACGTTAACTACGGTTGAATTTCTCAAATTTGAAATTTGGATTATTCAAACAACCTCGGATAGAGAAACAGCCAAAAAGAAAGTTGTAGATCTCAAAAAGTTATAAAACTTTGTGGTTGACAACTTTTTGATTTGAAATCATCTTATCAACGAAAACTATGTTTGAATTTTCAAAAAATTAAAATTTGAATTTTTAAACGACGTCTGATGGATAAACAGCAAAAATGAAAGTTGTAGATCTCAAAAGGTTATGAAACTTTGTTGTTGACAACTTTTTGATTTGAATTCATATTATCATGGAAAACTACGTTTGAATTTCTCAAATTTGAAATTCAAATTTTGTAAACGACCTTGGATGGAGAAACTACCAAAATAAAAGTTCTAGATCTTAAAAAGTTATAAAACTTTGTAGTTGACAACTTTTTCATTTGAATTAGTTTAGGGCCTCAAATAATCAATTTATGCTCGGTTTAGCATAATATGTGTGGAACCAAAATACAATATGGGAACAAGTGAGTGTCAGTTGCAATGGTATAGAAGGGTATGTTTGAGGGAGAGGTCATGGGTTCAAATCCTGCCAACCACAACTCTATATTTCTTTTTGCTCGGAGGGGACCTCTCTAGGCTAATATTTTTGCTATTTTTTACCCGATTTTGTGAATTTTTGAAAATTGATTTGTAGGAACGACTCTTAGTCGTCCCTGAAAAAAAACGATTTGTATGGACGGTTGGCCAGCCATCCCTATAAATCATCGATTTGTAGCCACCCCTTTGTAGAGACGGCTGGCAAAACCGCCCCTACAAAAGGTCATTAGCCGCCCTACAAAAGCTCTATGTAGTAGTGTTGAACCCTGGAACCTGTGAATACTAATCCTTCCTCCGCCCCCGCCTACCTTGCGTGCTCTCTGCTTCCCATCCCCAAGTCTATCTTCCCTTCTCATCCCCAATTAAGTCATACTCTGACAGAGGGCAGTTGGGAGAAGGAGACGACAGTGACAGCAATCCAGGATACTACTGTTGGTTGCGTCTGACCTTGGCAGCAGAGGCGGAGGTGGAGGGACGACGACTAGAGATCAGGATCCAACTGGCAGCGGAGAGGAAAACCTGGCCCCATCGATACACAACTGTTGCGGGCCCTCGCTCGCTGCCTAGCTACTTACCAAGCTTAGGGCCCGTTCTACCTTGTTGCAATAAATATTTGTTTCCATTCCAGATGCATGTGAAGAAGACAAATTAACTGTTGGCACAAAAACGTGTTGATGCACCGGGCACACAGCAAGCCGAAAGGATCTGCTTAATGGAGTAAGGCTGGAGATCCGCTTGGCTTCAACGCAGGGTTAGCCGATCCTACGAATTCTTCCAGAGGCGTGCTAGTCAATTTGACCTGCAATTGACAAGGAGAAAAAGTTTATCAGTAATTTAAGGTCGAACATGCCAGTTTTTGTCCAGACAGTTTTAAATATGCCGCTTCGGGAGCAGCCAGACAGAAAAATTGACTAAATAGCCGATACGCGCAGAAATCGGCTATTACGGACTATAAATCTTTTGGGTAGCGATTGATTTTATGTTGATAGTGCACGCAGGTGTAAGTAAGATCATCAACTAGGTAGATATTACCAGTGTAAAGCATTGAGCCGATGAATCTAACGAGAAAGGGTATAGCAAGCGAACAAATCAACTGTCTAGTACAAATAGACTTACAAACGCTCTGAATCTAATCTGTTACTATCAACAGTGAGGTTCAATCGGATCGATGGCAGCTATGATGATAATAACAAAGTAAAACCGAAGAATCTGTAAAACCATCTATACATTGACAGGCTTTTCGAAAACATGCTATATGTGTGAAAGCTCAAACGGAACGGCTGAAATAGCCGATTCAGGTGGAAAAGGGGACTACAGTATGTGAACAATTGACTATTTAACATGGACAAATCTATAAACTCGTCAGACTTAACCTGCTATCTGTACAGTGGGGTTCGACCAGATCGATGGCAGCCATGATAAAGACAACAAATTAAACATTTAAAGTAAACAGATCTATTCACATTTAACAGAATCATGGAGACACACTGTATGCGTTAAAGCATAGGCGATCGACTATCTAGCTGATGCAGGTATAGCAAACAATTAAGGTCACGCCTGATCGAGAACAAATCTACCAACTAGCATCCTCCAATCTAAAGTGTCATCAGTGGGGATCGATCGAATCGTTACAGCCATAATAGCGAACTATAGACCAAATTTAACTAGCCAGCAAACCTCTTCAAGATCATACGTGCCTTAACTGTGTACTATGCACGACCAAGATCGAGGTAGAACAGCCGATAAAACGTAACTCGTCGCTCATTGTAAGAAATATCGTATTGTAACAAAGCAAAAGATGGACTAAAGGATGTGAGGCCGATCTAGATCAATCTTGATCGGGCAGATTGATATTGCTGAAAACTAATAACAATAAGAACATCAGCAAGATCGGTAACTTAATGAATCTACCCGAAGGACGCCACCCTTAAGTAGAGCCGATAACTTGACCTTAATCTAATTTGAGCAGTGGAGGTCGAACTTAACCGATGCATCCGTACTTGAACTAGATATGTGTCGATAACTAGCTTATACTAGAGTGGTAGTGGAGGTCGAACTTAACTTATGCAACCGTACAAATAGAAGTATAAGCCATGACGGTACTTACAGACAAGTCGGAGGTCGGCCGAACCGACGCAGCCCTACTTGTTGAAGAACTCGCCGAGATCTACATTACTCCTATTCCTAAGGGTTGGCGTAAAGCCGAAAAAAGTAATTTGTATTGATTGATTGGATGTCCTTTTACAATAGCTGGGGTCTAATATTTATACCCGGAACCTAAGTATGAATTCTACTTAAGTACGACTCATTATAATCTTTGGTATAAAAGAAAACATTCCTAACCTAATATAACTTGGACTCTAATCTTTCCCTTTTGTAGAGTCCGACATGTATTTCCCGATGCCAACCATAGCTCATTGTCGTTATCTGTTGACGTCATTCGAAGAGAGCCGATTCCAGTGGCGCATCTAAATCAGCTGATATCGATCCTTATGCAATCGATTCCTTGATTGATACAATCTTAGAAGCTTCGAGTTCCCACATTCTTCTTCCCAAATTTTGGTGTGAACACATGTCACCAAATTTTAGGATAAAAATGATTTTATTCCAAAATTCTTATTTACCTGTTTACCACGTTGCAACCGTTTTATTCCGAGATATACGCGTGACTTCTGATTTCTTGGTTCGAGTCTTATATAATATCCCAACAGTATCTTTTCCAACTCACTCGGCCCATTTGCTTTCCCCTTCTTTCTCGAGCAAATCTTAACAGTCGACGCCGCCATCACCAAAGCCTTAACCCTAGCAAATCCTCTACCCTATCAAGCTTTTATTTCAAGCGATCTTCCTCAGATTTAAATCTATTTTGGCTGTAATGGCGACCAGCGACCATGTCCTCGAGGTATGCTTTCATGTTCCCACTCTCCAAGTATCGGCCGCTACCCCGCATTTCCCTTCTTCTCAAATTTATTTTATCTGATTTCTAGGAAATAAGGAATGAAATCTTGATTCCATCAGACTCTTGCTCCCAATGTCTATTTTCTCGTGCCTATGGGTGACCACGATCCATCCGATTTTATCTATCAAAAAACCAACCAAATCCCTTTAAACAATCTATAGTGGATTTGTCCTCCTAGAACACCAAAACTCCCTTGAAACCGCCCCAAAATGCCTAAGGGGTGGAGATCTTTGGTTTCAGTAGGGTATCGATAAAAAGGCTAGAGATTGAGAGGTTTATGACTTGAATCAATGCTTGACACTCTCGTTGTCTGAGATGGAGCGGAATGATTCACTCCTGATTTCTAAATCTTATTTCTGGTCTAACACCCTAAATGCTTTTGTTTTTTGGTCACGGCCCAATGACC